TCATGACAGCGATCACGGTAAGCGTTTAGCTTTCGCTGTCCGCCATTTTTAACGTGGCAAAGAACCTTTACGAGTAAATTACACCAAGTACTTCATATATAGTTTTGTGGATTTGCGGATTTTTTAAGGATTTTGAAGGATTTCTGTGGATTTTTGAAGGATTTCTGTGGCATGGCAAAACATGTACTGACAAAAGGTCGACAAGTGTCCGGTGTCATATCATGCTGGGATTTCATAATACAATCGCGCGATAAAAACATGCGTTTTTTCCCTTAAATCTCTCGTTTCTCGCTTTATATATAACATTCCTAAGATGTACGCACAGTTTTGTACACCTTAGACATTGTGCTATCTAGTGTTGTGGACACTTGTTTTGGAAGATGTAAAAAGTGAGTGTCACTTTTGCCTCAAAGTTGCGTGACTTGCATAATTTACTATATACAATTTCACGAAATAGGCCAGCGCTCCGTGTTTAAAGCGTCATAACACCGTTTTGCCATGCGCAATGTTAAAATGTACGCGTAGATTAAAAAAGACTGGGCCTTTGCGGTCATTTTGGTGGGAAAATTGTAAATTTTGGAGCAATTCCGGCGGCGTCATTTCGAGGTTGAAAATTTTGTACGTGTACAATTATGATCGCGACTTCGCCATTCATTTGGCATTGCATGCTCGCGGTATTTGTTTTTAATCGCGTATTGTCTGTTGTTGATGCTACGAACGATGAAAGATATGAATAAGAAAGCCATCAGCAGTTATCGGGAATCGAGATTTCGAAAATTTAATAGTAAATATATAGAAAACATCAAAATTGCGCGCCCGATATCTCGGGCGCGCAGTACAAACTTTTCACACTGGTCGGGAAATCCTTTCTTTGAGGCCTCAATAAGCAAGTAAGTTTGCAAGTTTAAATAATTCACCCTCATTTGGTTTGTAAATAAGCCGAACATTTGCTAGTTTCCAGCAAATTCTCGATTCGTTTATTTATATAAAATTTGTGTGGTATATCTTGATGAACCATTGTCATTGAGAGTCAGTGAAGTTTTATTATGTTTGATGTCCCTATAATTCTGTAATTTGTCTATAACATGATAATTTATTAATATAACTTTGTCTTGTCGACTTTTACTTCAAGTTTTCGTGGTAATTTCTCACATTTAGAACGCTCTCGGCGTCGGCGGTCGCCATATTTCATTGCGTAAAATACAAAATGCGTCACGCGCATAGGTCACGCGTACCGAGAAAATTGATACTGCGCGTGCGCACAGCTAAATGGCAAATGTCCATTCAAATAGGCTCATGTTTTGCATGACTAAAACATCTATTTCATTTCTAGCTTCCCAAGGAGAATGTAATTGCGGTGAATGTCAGTGCAAGGATGGATACATTGGAAGTAACTGTGGCGAAATTGATTGTGCTTTCAAACCTCAATGTCTGACTGACGTCGAGGTACGTGGTATTATTTCAGGTTAATTTCCTGCATTAGTTTAAATTTCAGTTTCACACCAAGCTTTACATTATTATACACTTGATATATGATATATTGGCATTTCTTTAATAGGGCGGAGGTCAAGTAAATTGCAGTGGCCATGGCACCTGTGATTGTGGTAAATGCAAATGTGAATCATTTTATGAAGGAACGCGTTGTGAACAATGTCTGGTATGTTACATTATAGGGGCAATAATTGTTTTTATAGGCAAAAAGACTTTTAGTTTTAGGAACAATATTTTGCCCAATATTTGTACCCCAATATTTTGCCCAGTATCGGCCATTGTCTTTGTCATGAAAAACTTTCTTGTTGGAATTTTAATTAGTTTTAATTCTTAACTTTAATTAGTGGCGTCAGAGTAGTGGCGTAACTACTTTCGACTCCGCCCGCTTTTAAGGCCGTTTTCCACTAGGAGGAATTTTGCGCGCGGAGCGGAATTTCTCTTTGTCTTTTCTAATTAGTTCCACCCAAGAAATCACAAGACAAAGAAAAATTCCGCTTAGTGGAAAACGGCTTTTAAAGGGTTGGGGTTGAGGCGCGGGCTTTTCGCTGCTCATGCCTCAACCCCTTACCACCTGCTACGCAGGCTACAATCATGAAAATAATATCAGTAGTCTTTTTTGAAACGTATCTTGTCTTACTATTTTGTAAAGCCATTTTATTTTTACTTAATGAAAACGTCGATGATCGCTAGAGAACTCCCCCCTCCCCCTAGTACAATGTTGGTTCAATCCATGATTCTTGGACCACAAACCAACATTGTAAATGGAGAGGGTAGAAATTTTGGAAATTCTTCAAAAGTCTACGAATTAATTTCCATGTTTGCACACAAAATCCGTTATACAAGATTCGCGAAACAGAACGTTGTCACAGAGAAGAGATATACAGAGGAAACACGCGGCAAATTGTGTCATGCCGATATATTCGGCTATTAGTAAAACACGGAGCACGGAGCACGGAGCACACGGAGTACGGAGCACACGGAGCACGGAGCACACGAAGTACGGAGCAGTAGAAAAACGGCTATTAGTAAGGCTATTAGTAAAACACGGAGCACGGAGCACACGGAGCACACGGAGCACGGAGCACACGGAGCACGGAGCACACGGAGCACACGAACTACGGAGCAGAAGAAAAACGAAAATCCTTTATAATAAAATACACTGTTTACTACAAATTTTTATTACGGAGCACGGAGCACACGGAGCACGGAGCACACGAACTACGGAGCAGTAGAAAAACGAAAATCCTTTATAATAAAATACACTGTTTACTACAAATTTTTATTACAAATTTTTGTTCTTATTAATAAAGTTTTTTCGCGTTTTACACGTTGAGGAAGTAGAAAAATGGGGCTTTTACTGCACATATGATGCAAAACTGCCAAAAGCCATAGTATTTAAAATAGGATTGTGCCTGTGAAACTCGTCACATATCTATCAAGCTTATGAGTTATGTAGTTATATTATATTCCGATGGCCAACGCATTAAGAAACACTTAGAGAACAGCCGATATATTTCGTTACCCCTGCCAAAAAATAGCCAAGTACTCATCTTTCAATGTAGCGGATCGACTGAACATTATAAAAGCTTGTCATGGAGAGAAGTGAATTTTCGGTTTATCCTTCGTCCCAGTGACCAGTGAGCAGTGTGCTGTACGGCCTACGCCGGTTTAAACCGTTATACATAATTACTGCTTTCATTCTTTCAATCCGTTTTGAATATTCGGAATCATTCACTATTATATTATAAAACTGTATAAGATATAGCTGTAGAACTATAAATGCTGTAGAATAAAATAAATAAAGAAAACTACGTTTTATCGCGGTATTTGCCGATAAATCGGTAACCGCTACAGAAAAACAGAACAAATTACAGTAAATCACAACAAACCGCGGAAGTGGGACAATTTTTGTATTTTTACTGACCTATGCAGAACATGTACGAAATCCATACAGAAGTGTGTGTGTATTCTATACTTTTGAAACAACTAAATCTGACTTCGGAAAATTTGACAAAGACATATGCAGAACATGTACGAAATCCATACAGAAGTGTGTGTGTATTCTATACTTTTGAAACAACTAAATCAGACTTCGGAAAATTTGACAGTATTAAAGCTACTTTTGAGAATTTAGATTTTAGGTCTTTGTTTTACATGTACCCAGTAAATATTTTTGAGTTTTGAACTTTGATTCTCACAAGCTTACAATTTGTTTACAATTTACTCTGCCTCTGGCTCTGCCGTGCTGCAGAGTTGATCGGAATTGTAACAAATACGCGTACACTTAAATGGCTTCCTGAATTTAGTCAATCAGATGTGTAAAAATTACTCGTTTCAATTTTATGTTTATTCTCGAAACTGCTCATGTTTACGATAGCAATTCTAATAATCTTGCCCTCCTTTTCGCCTTTGAGGCGTTGGTGTTGATTTATACACAAAATTCAAAACACACAAAATATTTACTGGTCTGGGTACATGGATAAAAACGAAGACCTAAAAATCTAAATTCCCAAAAGCAGCTTTAATACGGTCAAATTTTCCGAAGTCTGATTTAGTTGTTTCAAAAGTATAGAATACACACACACTTCTGTATGGATTTCGTACATGTTCTACATGTCTTACAGTAAAAATACAAAAATTGTCCCACTTCCGCGGTTTGTTGTGATTTTAATACTGTAATTTGTTCTGTTTTTCTGTAGCGATTACCGATTTATCGGCAAATACCGCGATTTGAAAACTTACTTTTCTTTATTTATTTCATTCTACTGCATTTATAGTTCTACAGCTATCTTATACAGTTTTATAATATTGTGAATGATTCCGAATATTCAAAACGACTGATTGAAAGAATGAAAGCAGTAATGATGTACTGTATAACGGTTTAAACTTAGCCGGCCGTACAGCTTACTGCCACCGGTCACTGAGCCGAAGGATAAACCGAAAATTCACTTTTCTCATCACAAGATTTAATGTTCAGTCGATCCGCTACATTGAAAGATGAGTATACTTGGCTATTTTTTGGCAGGGGTAACGAAATATATCGGCTGTTCTCTACAGCAAGTGTTTCTTTATGTGTTGCCCATCGGAATATAATATAACTACATAAGCTTGATAGATGTAAGATAACGAGTTTCACAATCCCATTTTAAATACTATGGCTTTTGGCAGCCTGGTTTTGCATCATATGTGTTTTTCAGTAAAGGCCCCATTTTCCTACTTCCCCAACGTGTAATACGCGAAAAAAACTTTGTTAATTAATAACAAAAAATTGTAATAGTAAACAGTGTATTTTATTATAAAGGATTTTCGTTTTTCTACTGCTCCGTACTTCGTGTGCTCCGTGCTCCGTGTGCTCCGTGCTCCGTGTGCTCCGTGCTCCGTGTGCTCCGTGCTCCGTGTGCTCCGTGCTCCGTGTTTTACTAATAGCCGTAGAAAAACGAAAATCCTTTATAATAAAATACACTGTTTACTATTACAATTTTTTGTTATTAATTAACAGAGTTTTTTTCGCGTATTAC